TGTGCGAACAGAACTTGAACGAGGTACGTGCGCCCCACGGCGGGGCGCGCCCGCTGGCGCTGGGGCCGCGCCGCCAGCTGCAGAACGCCGCGCGCCACGCCGCCCGCCTGGGCAGGCTGGGCCGCCTGCGGCACCAGGTCCTGCCGCGCGCTACGCGCGAGGTCCGGTGCAAGAGGTGGATCGGCGGCGAGAACTTGGCGTACAACTACGCCACTGGGGATGTGGCGCGGGCGTGCGTGGATCAGTGGATTCGGTCCAGGCCGCATAGGAGTAACTTGCTGAGAGACTGGTTTAGAGAGGTCGTTACGGGCTTCTACTTTGCGCCTGATGGACGCGTTTATTGCGTCCAGACGTTCGGCCTCAAGTATCCTTGGGGGACCGTCGGACCGGCCGATGGGAAAGACTGTCAACCGCTGGCGTGATGAGCCCCGGGGGGTACGACAATATCGGGTACGAGAGTACGGGAAATTCGAGACCATCAATTGTTGTACCCGAGTGTGTCGCGTTTCTTGGCTGCGTGATTCGCTGTTGCCTTTTTGTGTCGTGCTGTACAGCATTTGCTTTGATCTTGGGCTTGTCTTGTTGTACCCTGCGAAGGGTAGCCACGCATTTGCCCGCTAGAAAATCTAAATACAGGCCAGGCCCTTTTTCACAGCCACTTTCGTCCACCTCTTCCATGTCAAGCCTTTGTTGAATCTTCAAAAAGCTCCAAACCCCGCCCAGCAATTAACACCTTCTGGGCCTAGAACAACGGATAAGCCCACACATTGCCCAGTTTTCATACACTCTGTGGACGCCAGCCTTGCCGTAATAGAGTACCAGTTTTCCCTCTCACAAATCTGTCTGCCGAACCTTCCGTCGTAGGCATCCATGCGCGAAAAATGGCGGGGCGGCTTCGAAGCCCGGCGATGGCCCTTGCCTCAAAACACCCAAAATCCTCTACAACGATGTCAGAGGGAAGGGCGGGCCTCTCACTTTTTACGTTTCGGCGAAAGAGTCAACTTTACTTTGTTTCTTAGCGACATGAATGCCAGTGCATACACTCTTTATAAGCGAGTCTCTCACTTGCACACCATCCGTCCATTCCCGCTTGGATGGCATCTGCATCTGCATCTGTATCAACCTCTCGTTCCAAGCAACCATGCAAGTCTCTACCGACTCGCAGAAAAGCGACAAAATCCGTCGCAAAGACGTGGCCGACATTGTAACTCCCCTCCGTCGCAGTTGCAGAAACCTGCAAAGCAAGAGGGCCCAGATGCTCTCCTTTGTGCGCACTGGGACCGTCCGCACCGACGAGATCCGAGACATGACGCACCTCATTTCCAGGGTTCTCGACAACGCCGATGAGATCATCCCAGAATCAGACAGCGGCTCGGAAGGCGAAGGTCAACAAGGAGAAGAAGCAGAAGCAGAAGCAGAACAACCCATCGCTACGGCCGAGGACGCCGAGCCTGTTCTCCAACCGATACGAAGCATAGTGCGACTCTTGGAGTCCACGATGCGCGACACCATCCTCATGATCCAGCGTGGCGACCTGCCCAGAGCGTTGATCGCCGACCTGCAGGACGTGCTGAGGGGCTTGCTGCAAGGCTCCAACGACTTTGAGTACTGGTCCGAGTGCACGCGAGAGGCGGCGCAGCCCGGCACGGAGTTTGCGCACCACCGTGGGGCACGCGCCATGCGCGCGGCCATGACGCTGCGACGCAGCACGCAGGCGCTGGAAGCGCACGCGCCGGAGCTGACCGAGCTGCTGCAGCGCGGCGACCTGGAGCGCGGCGAGCTGCGGCGCATCGACGGCGCGCTGACCGACCTGCTCGACCTCGCCGACGAGATCCACCTGGACGCGTCCGAGCCCGACGCCGCGCCCGCCGCCGCCGCGCACTCCGCGGAGCACGTCGCGCAGGTCATGACGCCCATCCGATACAGCATGCGGCGCCTCCGACGCTCCAGGCGACACGCCGTGCAGCTCATCCAGGACGGCGCGCTGCCGCCCGACGGTCCT